CCCAGGACCAACCCTGGGGCACTCCATCTGATACCAGCTGCCAACTATACATCAAGCCATTGATTACTACCCTCTGAGCCTGATACTCCAGCCAGAATTCTATCCACCTTACAGTCCATTCATCCAGCCCATACTTCCTTAGTCTCCCATGACATTCTCACAGGCAAGCTATCAGAAACCTTGCTAAAGAAGAAAGATTAGATCTTACAATAGCAAGCTAACTTTCTATTTTAGTGGCAGCTGTAAGCCGACTGCACGAGCCTCCAACAAAAGGAAATTTCCTTTTGCCATTAGGCTACGGTTTGTAAAGGTTTTTCGACTTCCAACTACATGCTAGGGGTAATGAGCTCACGGGGCTCCCCATGGGCTGGATGACAACTCTTCAGGCTACAGGTTGAGTACTGCTAGAATTCTGAAAGACATTCATGACCAGATATACTTGTAACCTCTCTTGTACCAGAATGTTATAAAAGCAGTCTTTTTTTAAGTGTTATCAGTAAGATTTAATTAACATTGTACTAAAAAGCAGCTCTGATATTTTGAAGATATTCCAATCCTGTCTCTAATTGTAAACTTTGCTCCCATTAAACTGATAAAAAGCATTTTTTATGCTTAGACATTTCTGGTGCACACTTCATCTGTTCCTTCAGAAACATTAAGTTTTCCCATGAATTCATTCTATACAAACTAAAAATAACTGATTTACAAAATTTATAGTAGTTTCTGTATTCCCAAAGCAGTTTTTGAAAGTTCAATGTCCTGCCTGCTTTAAGATTCAAAGTACCTAAAGTAATTAATACCTCTTATGTTTGCAAATATAACTGCTTTAAACTGAAGGCATTTAGGAGTCATGTTTCCAAATTAGCACCTCTAAATGGTAGCTCTATAAAAATTCCACTTTTCACTACTCAACTTTTATTACTTAAAGATGACCAAAATCAACAGTTTTTCAGGTTTGTGAAAATAACTTTTTGCCCTACATACAGCATTTCATCCCAGAACACACTTTCATCAAGTTTTAATTCCCCGAGTTTAGCAGGTACGGAATCCTCCCAGACTTACCAGCTCTCAAATGAGAGTCATTTCCCATTGAATAGTGAATACACATGCACAACACTATACATCTACCCTAATCAAAATGGTATCAGAGGAGGAGAAAGTTGAAGCATTGTGGGTTAGGATACATGGAAGTCAAGAGGAAAGGGACTTGGTGGTGGGGGTCTGCTACAGACCACCACATCAAGAGGAAGAGCTAGACTTGGAATTCCTGAGGCAGCTCTCAGATGCTATATGGTCTAAGGATGGGGTTGTCATGGGGGGACCTAAACTACCCTGACATCTGCTAGGAGCAGTCAGCCAAATCCAACCGTTCACGTGGGTTCTTAACCTGTGTACAGGACCTTCACCTAACACAGGAGGTATACTGCTCCACTAAGGGGAATGCCTTACTGGACTTGGTGTTGGCTATGGGGGATGACCTGGTGGGGAAGCTACAGATTCGTGGTCACCTTAGAGACAGTGACCATCAATCAATCGACTTCACCATATGGCGTAAAGTGGGTAAGATAACTAATAGGGTGGAAATATTTGACTTTAGGAAGGCTAACTTCAGTGGACTCAGGAGTTTAGTCAACGATGCACTGCAGGATAGGAGTATTGGTGAGATGGGGGTCCAGGAAGGGTGGTCGTTCCTAAAGGAAGTGATCCTTTGGGAACAGACAGAGACAATCCCAGTGCAAGGGAAAAGTGGGAAAAGAGGCCAAAAATCTGTTGGAGTACTGCATCCAGTTTTGGGCACTGTACTTTAAGGAGGATGTGGATAGCCTCAAGAGGGTCCAGAGGAGGGCACCTCATATGGTTAAGGGTTTAGAGGCCAAGCCCTATGAGGAGAGACTAAGGGACCTGGACCTCTTCAGCCTCCACAAGAGGAAGCTGAGGTAATCTTGTGGTTGCCTACAAATTCTTCGGGGGGGCGGCACAGCAAGGGATTGGAGATGCTCTGTTCACCATCCTTGGGGTAACAAGGAACAATGGTCACAAACTGACAGAGAGCAGATTTAGGCTAGACATCAGGAAAAACTTCTTCACGGTGGTGGTTGCCATAACAAATTAGTCAGTACAATATTACATTTTAAACACAAATTTTCTCTCTGGCAAATTCATGCCTTTATTCAGTCAAATAAATAGGTATCTGGCTAGGGTTGTCTGACCCCAGCACTCTTCCCTGCCCAGGCAGGGGGTCGGACTCAATGATCTGCTGAAGTCCAATCTGACCCAGGCATCTATGAACATAACATTTTCAATTACCTAGCAGTACCTTGTACTAATATGATGGATGTTCCAGTGAATGCATGGAGTTTCTCCACCACGAAACAGAGCTGCTAGAGCATAGGGCAGTGGTCTCCAACCTTTTTATGTTGGAGATCACTTTCGGAATTTTTGAAAGGAACCCAAGATCTACCCTCTGTGCCCCC